TCAGATTATTTCCTTCTTACAGATTCCTGTTCATAGACAGGGATTTTTAGAAAGGGAACAGAAACTCCACTGGCAAAAGATCATTTTACCTGGCAGGATGCAGCTGTCAGCTTGCAGAGGTAGAGTTTTAATAAGCAACAAGGAAGGCAAGGTTTCAGTGCCCTGGATCTGCATGGTGAGCACAGGCCCTGGTAAACTGTTCCCAAGATAAATGAGTGGAACAGTCAGGGAACAGTCAACAAACAGTCAAAAGGTTTGTATTGAGGGAACTGGCCTGGATATGACAGGAGTCGAAATCTGCCCTCTCAACCTCTCCTTTTGTTTTCAGCAAGTCCCAACATGCAGTGGTGCGAATTATAGGATGCAGAAGTAAATAACAGAATATGAAACGTTAAATAGAGAGGGAATAGGGGTTTGCAGGGGATTTGTTTTTTCCCCTAGCAGTATACTCAAGGTCTCATTCCTAGTGCATTGGTGGCCTCAGTTAACACCATTTCAGATGTTTATCATCCAAGCCCTGCTTTTCCACTTGTGCCAGGCCACTGAACATCAAGTGTATGCTTGGTGTGCCAGGACTGCTCTGCTAAAAGCTCTGCTCCTTTTCTTTACCATATAGCGCAGCATGGAGGGAAGAGCATATGTTCTTTGGTTTGCAGCAGAGAAGCTCCCTTCCCTTTCAAAATGCCTGTCTGGCAGCCAGGCTCTCTTTTCAGATGCAGTATTTCTGGAGGCAATAACCTCTGATTACCCCAGCAATACCTGATGCTGCAGTTCAGTAATGAATGCTCAGGTTATTCTCCTACTAGGTTATGACTCCTCTTAGTTTAAGTGGATAGGATTTCATGATATACTGCCTCCTTTTCTTTCAAATCTTGACCTCACATAAGTAACATTGGTGTGCCTGCTGTCACCACTAAATAAATAGTAAACAGGGAGAGCGCTGAAGCTTCTTGGAGAGTTAAGAAGCTTCTCTAGAAACCTCAAGGTAAATGTTGTATGAATATCCATATCATGTCAAGTGACAGTCTATGTATCTTGGATGCTTTTTAAAGAGCAGCCTGGAGTCACAAACCATACTGACATGTTACTGATCTTGGCCCTAATTGATGATCTGCCTGAAAAGAACAAAGCTGCTTACTTGGCTTTTGGTTTTGAGACTGACCACAAATGTTCATGTCCCAAGCCTGCTGGATTTTATTGGACTGCTCTCAGTAACAGAAATACCTCTATTACAGCAGTGCCAAGAAGCCAGACTGAAGCCATACTGTGTTCAAGACGCTGCACAGAGACAAGAGCACAAAGATTCAAAAAAAAAGGTAAAAAATGAAGAGAATTAGGAATAGGTAAAGAAACTACTAAAAGAACACATGCCTGGTCCTCAGAAGCACTTAAAGAACTGACATCTTTTCCCTAATGGGCTTGCTCTCCACCAGAGCCATTTCTGGAGCAACATAACTCTGAGTTTACCTAAGCTTAACAAGCTGCCTTCCAGATTTTCCTGCCTCCTTGGGAAGAACAGAGCTAAGAAGAGCTTTTAATTAGGAGTGGGGAGAAGACAAGAGGACAAATCCTACTTGCCTAAGAAGGCTGCAGACAGAAAGAGGTTGGAAGGCCCCATATGCTCTCCCTCTCCTGTATCTCCATCTGTCCCACATCTTCTCCTCTGCAGAGGACGTGTCATTCCAGTGTCAGTCTCAGACTTGAACAGCACAGTTGCACAATGAAGGCAGGCACTAAACGATACTATGGAGAACATGAGCAGGGATACGTGATGTGGGTATTCTGGACTTCAGGAAAGGGAAAAGATCCATGCCACTAGGCAGCTTTTCAGATAAATCTGTTTAAGATCACTTTTTCCAAGTTCACTTGGGGAAATCCTGGCAGCATAGCCCAAATCAATTTAAGCTTTACATTTCAGAGAGCTGGTAACAGGAACAGCTTGCAGTGTGTGCGTGTGGCAGTTTTGAAAGCCAAGCGGCCTGCTCATGGCTTTTGGGCCCATCATTGTCTCAGCCTGGGAGGTCTGATGGAGGACTCAAGGACAGGGTGTGGTACCAGCTCTCCCCTTGGAGCGCCAAAGTGCATGGTCTGACCATGCACTACACCCAGATTGCATATAAAGAGCCAAATTTGCCTGGGCACTGAAAGCAGCACAGCTGCCCTGGCATTGCTTCCTGCTCAAACAGCACTGATGTAGCTTGGGTACCTCTGCTTAGCATTATAATGGATATAAGCAGGTATGTAATTTCAGAGTTAGGGCACTAGACACAATATGCTCTTTGTTATAGAAGACCAAAAAAAAAAAAAAGAAGTAAATCAATTTAAGCAGCAAATTTGATAAAAGTCCGATGAAAGTGGTTTTCCCAGCATACAGCCCTCCACAAGAATCACTATGGGTATTCTCACACATACTTGCTGCTTTGGATAACATTTGGACAACGCTGGGTAGGTTTCCAGCAGTTTACTGCACAGTACCCTTGCATCCAAAGGGGACAAGGATCAGAAGCAGCCAAGATGATCTGTAAAAGATCAGCAGGACACTGCAGGATTATATATCATTATGCCAGCCCCAGCCATTCAGCTGAATCCATGTTAAATTCAACAGCTGGCTTGTGGCCAACCTTGTGTTAGTAGTCCTCAAGGCTGTTTGTGAACAATCTCCCCTGCACCAGACAGGCTGGCTGGTAACATCTTACCAGGCTACTGGGGTTTTCTCTGCGTTGCACACAGCCTTTGCCTCAATGATGGCACTGGTTAAATAACAGTCTTTGCAGTTCCCTAGGAGCTCCCCCTCACATCAGAACCAGAGACTGGCCTCCAACTCTACTGGAGGGAACTCAAGCCCCCTCACGGAACAAGTGCCTACCAATTAGTGACACTTACTGATTCTATCTGTAAAGAATCATTATGAAAAATGCAAAGCATTATGCAGCCACTATTAATCTTCTGCTTTGGTTGCATTTACTCATGGTTTATGGCCCTCCAAGGAGGATAAATGATAAAGGCATGTACTCACATTGTTATTTGTCTATTTGTCTGCGCAACAATACACATGCTCAGCACTAAGTAGAAATTATTTTTCATGGGGAATGCAGCTTTAAGGCTTTTCAAGGTCAGAAGGCTTTGTGAGGGGGGAATAAAACCTGCAAGTGACTCCAGCTCATTTGCTGCCAGCTCTTCCTTTTAAAGTTACAACCCACAAAAGATCAGAAGTAGGCTGAGACTCTAGGAGGAATGTCCACAGTAGTACTTTTGTATTTTTGTGTCTTTTGCTAAGGTACAGGATGGCATACAGGCGTGTGACAGGCAAGGTCATTGCTGTCACATGACAAACCCTTTTCCAAGGTATTTAACACTGGTGGAACAAGCGTTTCCACTCTGTACTTGGGATACTGAAATCTCTTCTTGCTGGCTTACAGCTCATTGTCAGCAGCAATATTTTGGCCCAGTTTTGTTTATGGTAGCAGGGATAGATTTCTGGAGGTTAAGTTCTAGCAAATTCAGGCTATCAGATGCCTGCAGTGGTGCTTAACTTGCCAGCAGACTAACAAACAGCACTAAGAAATGTTCTTTGGCACTGCATAGCTCTTTGCAAGGATGACAACTCCATTTCAAACACAGAGTACTTAAAACAATATTAGTCCAAAAGTGGGAATGCAAAACCACTACCAATGTATTAGTAGCTGCTACAGAAACTACATTGTAGTTAAAAAGATCAGCTTTCCATGTTTACTTTGAAAACATACAGATGCAAGTACAAATTTTTGTAAGTTTTTAGTCTTAAACACAGTAGGGATGGCACTCTGCAATTTGCAAGATGATAGATGAGAAGCAGTATCTTTCATCAAATAATCATATTTGTCCCTTCCTTACTTAGAGAAACACTGAGACTGAACCTGGTCCAAAGCCAGCTGTGTCAGTGCAAGTCTTCCTGTCCCTTCTGCAGCTTCTGGATCTGGCCTGGCATCCCCAAAAGTCTATGATTACAAAACATGGCTTTGGCACCATGTCACACAAAACAGGGAAGGAAAACATGCTGCCAAAGTAGATATCAGGTAAAGCCAAACACCTCCTGCCTGATTCCCCCAAACAAAGCTCCATTCAGGCAGGGGGTAATATCAAATATTTATAAAACATAGTCACAGAGGAAACTCAGTTTCACACCTCCTGATTATCTTTTGTTCTTGTATTTCTTCCTTTCTATTTCAAGTTAACCAAAACCAGCAAGAGAAATCCGAGATAACGACTTGTCCCAAGACACTTGTTAGATGTATTCTTTAAAATAGGTTTTGTTTCCAGAAAACTGGTCAGAGTATTCATATTTGCATGTATCGGATTGACTCAGTCTCTTCCATTAGTGGATCTAGCAGTCAGTAAGCTAAAGCAACCTAATTTCAGTAACTTGGGATATACAAAGAGCAAAGCTAGCGACAGATTTCACAAGAAATATTCAGATATCTTGGAGGACACTGAAAAATATTTTCCACCTCTTTAATGAGATATGAGCCCATGGATCTTGCCAGGTGATAAATGGCCACTGTTTGAATAGCAGGTAGTCTGCAGGACATTATCAATGCTATGCCATCAATATTATATTGCTAACAATAAATGTTTTGACACATAACAATACATTTATATATCAATACATTTATATATCAATCAGACACTACACTCTCAATTATCCATACTATTAATAGTTTAATCTTTTTAATTGTTGTGAATGGTGCCTTCAACGAGGGTTCTGTCTGATATAAATCAGGATGGTTCATTTAATACCTCCTTGGGCAAATTCATTTACCTTAGTGGAAGTACAGAAAGTGAAGGCAGTAGAATTTGGCCTATAATCTTTGATGGATTTCTCCTGGGTTGTCTCCTCCAGCTTCATTTACAGCCGGTGCTGGCACTGATAGCATGTCTTTTCAGAGACTCTATGGATGTACACTCTACCTGCTTAATCACAAAGGTGTAGGGCAGTAAAATCTGTGTAGGGCAGTAGAATCTACTAAGTAGTTTTCTATATATATTTGAAAATTAGGGCTAAAGGCACATAACATTTTACTACCTTATTTTCTTTAAGAAAATATTTCTATCTCATTAATTGCTCCTGTCTTTGACATTACTCTGAGTTGCCTCCACTCTCTCCTATTAACATTCCTATATGTTTTTCCTCCTGGACATACATGGAGAAAGGGTATTGCCTCTGTGCTCTGGTAATATGCCATCTATGCTTTCAGAGCTGACAATTGCATTGACCTTTCTACCTGCCCCTTTGCACTGCACTATCGGTTCAACTTGCTGTCTACTATCATTTTTGGACTTCACATCTATTTCCCTCCATGCCACTGAATTTCTGTGTCTGGAGTTATTTTCCTTCCCAGATGCTCTCCATGGCTTTTAGCCAAGCAGATTCTTACTCAGTGGCATTTAGGTCATATTTATAATACTTGCTGTATGTGTTGCTGCAGCTTCCCTTCATCTTGAATATCAGGCCCTCTCTGGCAACATACTTGCTTTCACATTCCACCAAATACTCTTTTGGATTTGTATAAAACATCTTAGGCAAGAGCAGATCTCATGTGAGTGTGGCAGTTTCCACCAGGCATCATCAAACCCCTACCTTCTAACAGTTTCTTTCCCTTCTGCTAGTTAGCAGCCAGAAGACACTTACACATTCCAAAACATTTCAAATTTACATCTTAAGACTTTGGTAGAAACCACATTAATCTCAAGAAGAGTTCTTCATTCACAACAATCCAGTTTTCAAGCCAGGTTTCATTCTTATGGCCTACAATTCCACAGCGGGTGATGTACTTCAGGATACCTGCCCAGTCTCATATGGAAACTCCTGCTATTTGAACAGAAGAGAGCACTACCCCTTTTCCAACAAGGCCTGCAATGGGAGAACATCTAACAGAAAAGGAGAAGCAGGTGTCACTGTATGCAGGGACACTTCAGTACATTCCCTCTGAGGTCTGGCTATTTGTTCAAGGTTTCCAGGCATGGCTAGAGTAGGAGCAGCAGCTCAATCAGAGCTATAGCTCCAGCTGGCTGGATTGCACAAACAGTTGTCACACAAGAGCCATGTGCCCTTGCACATAGGCACAGTCCTCCCCTGGCACTCACTGGAACTCCTATGAATGTGTTGAACAAGTCCTCAGATTATGATAGAGTAAATCCTACACAGTAACTATTCAAAAACAATCAGACCTACTACACAACTGCAGGACAACATGCTTTTGTTTTCCTTTGGGAACCCCCAAAATGAATATGTCAGCCCTCCCTGTACAAAAACTATTCTGAACAGAACTTTGTGCCAACCTGAGTCTGTCCCTGAAGTTTCCTTAAGAAAGTTTCCTTAAGAAGTTTCCTTAAGAAACTTCATGCCTGTGTCTCTGCTATTGCAGAAAGGGCTGGGTACCTCTGTCAGCAGCAGATCCAATGCAAATAGAAAAAGGAAGAGGAGGCTGATGGGTCTCAGACCTCACCTGGTTTGGAGAATATGTGATTGTCAGCTGTAGCTAACCTTTATGGTCATCTCTGCACTGATGCTTTAAGAAAAGCATCAGCTTGCACCTAAATCTTCCTTCTGTGCTGATCTGCAGTGTCTTTCCATGCTCCTAATAGAGCTTGAAATTAGATCTACCAGACAGGAACAGCCAGGCTTTTTGAATTCTGGTATTTCTAAGACATTCACAAATGCTAGACTTGTCTCTTACCCACCTTATGCATCCTGGAGGTCAGAAGGAAACCTCAGAAAAGCATGAGAATTCAGAATCCAGAAATAAAAGCTGTCAAACAGGTGAATTTTATTACAGTAATGAAAGCTACCTGGCAGGAATAAATGACCACCTAACAGCATTCTTACGTACACACACACACACACACACACACACACACACACACACACACACACACACACACACACACACACACACTTACACTTACACTTACACTTAAAAAAATAACCAGCAGAGGGAAAAGAGAGCAACAAAAATCCTCTCTGTTATATCTTTACTTTTATAACTTAAAAGCTGCATAGACGGCAGAACAGTTGGTGGTCTTGCTCTGTAGCCAGCAGGGCTGTCAGCATGGACCTTCTCTTCTGGCTCTTCTTACCTTGCAGAACACAAGCGGTCTGGTGCTTCTGTATCCTGCAGAGCCCCTTCACATAGGCTTGTGGTGAAAGCAAGTGGAGATGTGGCCTGTGATGCAGAAAAGAGCTCTTTCCTAAGGGTTTCCTTCCAACCAAACTCTCCCTGCTTCTGCCACCGAGAAGATGGTAAAGAGACTCTCACTGCAAGGCTCAGCTCCCCCTTCTGCCTCAATATACCACGGAATACACAGTCAGCCTTTATCCTTGTTGTCCCAGCCACCTCTCTTTCTACAGTCTGCATTCCCCCTTGAGTTTTCCATTATATTGTAACCAAAAGCAATGGCTTTAAGACGAGAAGACTCTTCTTCTGAGTTTTGCAACTATGGCTCTCTAGACAGCAGGTTTCAGCATGTTTTAGGTACAGGCATTGCCAGGTACAGTTAGTGCTTGCCACATGGGGTACAAATTCTGCACATCAGGCACTCAAGTCCAACCCCCCAATTTAGAGGACCAGGTGGTCTTTTGACTTATCCTTATCTAGAATCACATGAACAAGGAACAAGGTAGATACAATAGGGTGCTGCTTGTCAGGTCCTCTCCTCTTTCATACCCGCTGCCTTGTCCCTGTGTCCCTCTGCTTTGACATCTGCATGGAACCAGCCTGTTTCCTGCCTGGACTCCCCCTCTCATTGTATCTAAATATGGGCTTGGATTCACAGACTTCATTACTCAGGTCTGCTTTTCTTTGTACCATCATTACTGGCGTCACTTACAGGAACTAAAAGCTGATGTATATTCTTCCTCTCGTGCATAAAACCTTTAAGTCTCCCCATGTGCTAAACTATCTCATTTAGTTTGCCTCTAACTCTTCAGCATTATACTTCACACAGCAATTAATTCATCCTCTATTTCTCACTACGCTGAAGGCTGTACCCTATTGAAGTCTGTATCTGAGCAGAGCTGGTAATTCATCAGCACTCCAATATCTCTATATACAATGTGCTCATTTTTCTATAACAGGCTTTTTTAATCTTGCTGACAATAGAAACGTTGATATTGGTAAGGTTAATGACCCACTGATAAATACCAGAAAACACTTTTACCCTCAAATAGTTTTTAATCATGGCTGCTGCAAAGTGTGACAAGAATGCTTTGTGCCAAACAGGCTTTAGAAGCAGTGCTTTCTAAATCTGTGAAGCCCCCTTTTATTACCAAAGGGGTTTCTCTGACAGTTACTGGGTTTGCTTTTGTGCCAGGTTATGAGGTTTATTACACTGGGTTAGTGTATGAACCGCCTGTCTTTTCTTTCACACCTCTTAATGGTCTACATTGTGTGTTGGATGTGCTGAGATGGCTTCAATCTTTACCTTACAAATGATGGAATCGAATCAATCAATAAGCAAGTTAATGGAAGGAATGGAAAGCCTGTGAGAGTTTTACTGGGGTACAGTCACAAAAAGGTACTCTCTTTGATAAAGAAAATACAACTATGGTGACAGGGTCAGGAGAAAGCAAGACTAACACCAATTTTTCACCCTTTAACACTGTTGTTTAAAACCATGCACATTTTAACACTGACTTGCTTGTGGGGAGATGTTTGCATTGCACTAAGAAAAAGGCATGCCCAGCTAATTTGTGTAATCGCTAAGCTGGCATGCAGAGAAAGTTAAAGAACTAGTTTCCATTTTTAATTCACATTGGGTTTTGCTGGATTGCTTCCAAGCACTGAACCAGCAAAAGAAATATGAAGCACTTTATATTGTGTTCCCTGAGATGCTGCCCCAATAAATGTCAATATAGCTTCCCTGGACCCTAAGCAGCACATGTCTGTCAGCGGATGATCTGACCCTAAACAGAGATTTCTGACTGCATAAGGCCTGTGACAAAGACAGCAGAGATGGGTATCACAGTACAGAGCAATGGGAAAAAGAAAATTCCCATTCAAAGCCAGCAGTATTTTCCAGCAGTGAAGGGACTGAAGTGGGGAAATAAAATCCAAGATGTGTGGATCTCATAAATTACATGTGTATTGTGTCTGCATGAGGAGAAAAAAGCCTTTTGCTTTGGTATGTACTGTCCTTGATTTGTTCTGTTAATTCCAAAAAAGAGGTGGCTGTAGAAATAGCTGCCACTTGCAAAGACTTTCAGTCTAAGCGAGTGTTTCAGGCATGGTAGCCAAATGCCACTTAGATCCATTTTTGCCTCACACTGAAGCCAAACAACGAGCCAAAGGACAGCGCTGGGCAAGGACAATGAACTAATGGAAATGACTAGAGATATATTACCTCTGAAAGTAAGAGGCTCAGTGAGAAATGATTCTTGTTATTTTCATTATGAAGTATAGCTCCTTTGGAAAAGTCAAGGTAACCATTTTCCCTACAGAGACTAGCCAATATGTCTTAGCTCTGTTCTGAAATAGCCTGTGCTACTTGTGCTAGCAAGAGGGCTCTAGAAAGAGTCTACTTCTGAGTGCAGATTTGTCAAGAACTGGACCTCTAGACCCAAGGCTGAACCTGACAACCTGCAAGTCATATAAAATCATAGAATCATAGAGTAGTTTGGGTTGGAAGGGACCTTTCAAAGGTCATCTAGTCCAACCCCATGCAATGAGCAGGGATATCTTCAACTAGATCAGAATACCCAGAACCACATCCAGCCTGGCCTTAAGGAAGCAATGTGGATGTAGGAACTGCCTCCTGGGTTGGATCAACGGTTCATGCGGCCCACGATCCTGACTTGGGTAGTAACAATAGGATAAATTATTCAGAGGGAGAGGGAGCATGGCAACCTAGCCATTCTCTGTTCTCTATTTACTTTTTACTCCCCCAAAGCTGTTGTGTCAAGGATGTTACAGGGTTTATTGTTCAGTCCTCATAGTATGCATTCATAGACCCTTGGTCCATGAATGTCTAAATCCCTTTCTGAACCTGCTCATACTGTGTGCCTCTACAAACTCCTGTGGCAGCAAGGTCCAGAAGTTCACCACCCACTGCATAAAGAAGAACTTTATTTTACCTTTTTCAAACTTTTCCTATCAGCTTCACTGAGGTTTATGAACACTTGAAGTGATTCAATCAGTAACTCCTGCTGTACCACAGGATAACAATAGAAATGCGTATGTGGTCCCTGTTGCTGACGCCAGAGTTCCAGAGTCCTGCAGAACGGCTTGTAAGTCTCCAGGAACACAGAAATGATTACACTTTTACACTGATTTAGTTCTAAAGTACTTTAGTAACATTATGTTGGTTTAGCCCACATAGCAGCCCCCAATGCAAAGGAAAGATAAAAAAAAAAAAGCTGGTTTTCTATGCAGGTACACACACACCAGATGTTACGTATTTTTAGCTGGCTGCAGGTGTGTGTAAAAGGAATTTTGGGACTGATTGTGGAGTTCTGCTAACTGTCTTAAGCTTGTAACATTCCAGATGAGATACAGTCCTAAGAGCCTTACTGCTAACAAGCTAATCACTTTGCAGGAGATGGCTTTTGGGTTGGCTACATTTATTTCAAACTATGTTATTCTCTGCTAATTAAACTTCTGAAAAGGAACACAGCTGACAAGGAGTTAGAGTAATTTGCTCAGTCCTTGACATTAGTCAGGAAGCCTCAAAGCAGAGGCCATTGAAGTACAAGAACACTAACCTCCAAGAGAAGAAACAGCAGTCTTTAATTAGAGTCTTACCTCAGATGATGTTGTGAGGGATGAGTTGAAGATATCAAAGATACCCAAAACACAGATGATTCTGGTGGTACGCAATCAGTTCAGACACACTGTGGCTGGTGGATCCCCAGAGGCAAAAAGAAATGGAAGAAAGTCTGAGTATAGCTTGGAGACACAGATGCAGAAACTTGGCATTTGCCCTGTGGAATTCTTGGATGCACTTGAAAGGTTCCTCTCAAAGATGAAAGTGCAGTCTCTGTTTTGTGCCTGGAATGAACTGACACCATCATATTATCTCAGACTTACTGGCAAATGGTCTTTTCCAATGGCTGAAACTGTTATTAGATTACAGAATATGCAAAACAACAGATGGCTGCTAAATTAATTGCCAAATGATTAACTCCATGGTAATGACACAGGAATTTAAGAACAAAATTTAAGGGAAGAGTCAGGTAGGAAGGAAACCTGAAAACCCATCCCATTTTCATGCCAGCAGTGGCTGGGCTCTATCTTACTAGCACTCACAGTTAGCCAAAGAGACACTTTTTAAAGTCATGAGCAGCACATAAATTTTCCCTTCTCAGAGTATGCATTAATAATTCAGGGACACTTCACCCTATCCCCAAACTTCAGTGGAAGTCTTTGAACGCATTCCTGAAGCAACAAGACTTACTCCCCTTCCTCGCTGCAAGCAAAACTACTCTCCAGTAGAAATATATGCAGTGTTTGTGGAGACAGCAGAACCTTTTTTTACCAAGTGTTGTGTGTACAGGTTAGTGCTGTTGATGTCTACAGCTGCTCTGGACCGTATAAGTAAATAACTGTAAATCCACTAAAAGACATATTTAAACACCTCTCCCCCAGCATAAGCCATCGATTTAGGCACACCCCAGTAGTAAGATGGGAAATACAGGACACAGACTTTCAGAAAAATGGAAGGTCAGCATCACTGTCATATCAGTAGTATGAGAAAAGGCTTAATTTAACATCTTGGAAGCAACAATCACAACCAAAGAGCCCATTACAGAAGTTAGACTCAAACTACTGCCTGGTGTTGTAGCTCCTAGACATGCAAGCTAAGGGAGTCTGTAGGATCAACTCCCATGGCCTCCCAGCTCCCCTCCACTGCTGGCCAAAGATCCACACCACGTCCCTGCTGCCTGGTTGCAGTGGGGAGCTGCAGGGCTGCTTTCAGACTACAGCAGTCAGAAGCAGTCTGGCCATTGCTGAAAATGAAAAGCCTGTCATAAACGAACCTGACTGGTGATGAAAGTAACACCAAGACTTCATTGCCTTCCATTTCCTACAGGCAGGTGATAGAGCTAAAGACATTTCAAGGAGGAAAGGCAAAGCACTGCCTGTAACTGCAGTCTCCATTTCTCTTTTCCCTTGGTAAACTATTGTACACAGCTACGTATCTTCAGTTTCAAGGCTCAGGCCAGCACTCTCAGCAGCTCTCTGCTCACCATCCATGCTCTAGAAAATGCAAGGACACCCTGGGAGCACTCTCAAAGTGAGCTCAGTCTTGCAGCTCCCACTGGCTCAGCTTCAGACATGAACATAGTTCATCTTCTGCTACAGACACCCAGATGTACTCCAGCTACAGCACATTCCCTGGCACACCCAGCTAGGACCTGCACACTGGCTCTGCATGAGGGGAAATGAGAGCCAGCCGTCAGGTCTGTCAGGGTCAATTGTCCCAACCAAAAATAGCTACATTGCTTCAGAAACTTTCACCATATGATGCCTTAAACATTATTTTTCTGGCCTAGGTCACTGTCATTATATACCAACACTCATTTGACTTAACAGTAACTGCATGAAAACATCACAGTAGATGACTGAGAACCACCAGAGAAGCTGTGGCTGCCCCATCCCTGGCAGTATTCAAGGCGAGGTTGGATGGGGGCTTGAAGCAACCTGCTCTAGTGGAAGGTGTCCCTGCCCGTGGCAGGAGGTTGGAACTGGATAAGCTTTAAGGTTTCCTCCAACCCAAACCAGTCTGTGATTCTATGATTCCACGATGAGAAAACAACATATATATTCAGTTAGTCAGTCAGACCCAGAATGGCAGTTTGCTTGCTCCTACTCCTTTTGCAAATGTGTGCTGACAATTTTAACTATCACAGACATAAACTGACATATAACAATTTTAGGGGGATACAGCAGCACAACTTTAACACTTTTTTACATTTCACAGTTTGCACATACCACCGAGTATTCCTCTTCTAAGCTGTCTGGCTGTTAGCACTTAGAAAAACATCACTGCCCAAAACGCTGTTAAGACTTATTAGCCCCAGTGACCCATCTCCAATCCCAAACTTTGTAATGATCTCAAACCCTCACCAAAAAAACACCAATAAAATTCATTACTTCTTCTGGTCCCTTCGGTTTCCACCAAACTGCCCAAACACTTCACCTCCCTGTATGTGATGGGGAGTCTGGTTCTAGCTATTGGCCTGAAATACACAGAAGAAAACCCCAGTTTGAATCCCTCTGTCACTTGGCTTCAGAGAATTTGGGTAAGTTTGTTTTGGGCCATGTCACTATGGTCTTTTTTCCTTTCAGTTACCATGGCTGTCTGAGACATGACATGACAGAACATCTGCAGCGCATGCAGCTCTCCTCCCCATGTACCAGACCAAGAAAAACAGCCTGGCAATGAAGTCAGCTAACTACAAAGTAGCACACAGCAATTTGTGCACTTTTTGCTGCTGATAAATCAGTTCAGAATCCCATGGACACATCTACTCCTTTTTTGTGTAGGGGTGTCTTGCGTGTCCCTAGAAGTGCTCCATGAGATGGCCCCTACCTCTGCATTCAAAGCTGTATCACCTCTCTTGTACTCTGTTTTCACTGCTGCTTTTTGGAGAACCCAACTGCCTACATTTAGGGGATGGAAATAAAACATGCATAGAAGGAAGATGGATAGTTAAATTTCTGGCTGAGGAGGAGCAGGAATGCCACACCCCCCACACCCACACCCCACACCCCCCCTTCCCCCCAGCAAACATTTGCTACTACGGTATTTTTCAAGAGCTTGAAAAAACAGTAAAGAACAAAATTACACAGGAAAAGGTCTGTATACCCAACCCTGATCATGGAAATGGATCGCAAGTGGCTTCTGGCACTCTGTCAAATAGCAGTGAGACGAAGCACCAGCTTCCAGCCATAAGCCAGACAAAGACAGGCTAGTGGTTGTAAAGCACAGAGCCTCAGGAAATCCAGAGTAGGAGAGTCCAACAACTTCACAACTCCAAGCATAAGGAGGCTGGATACCCTGTTAAATAGTCATCATACACAGGAGATTCATCATGTTGCTCTTTACATGCATCTTTCTGCATCAAGTGGCACTTGTAGTTAGGCTATATCACTTCACACTGCATTAGCCTATATTATGTAATTTCATTTGCCAGTGAAACAATATGCCATGACATATACATAATCTGGGGCATGTCACACCCTGTAGTTAGAGTATTTTGTATATTTCACTTAAATGTATAACCATCTTGTTCATCTTTTTCACACCTTCCTCTTACTGAAGCTAAAGGTAGAAGCATATGGGGAAATGACAGGATAATCAGTATCCAGAAGCAGGAGGACAGGATGAGTGATAAGTTTAGTTCCAGTGGCTTATTACTAGCAGCATCATTTCAGTTAACCTTGCATACTTCTAATCCCCTTTTCTGTCTATGGAGCATCCCCTGTCGTCATAATGTCAGTGAATGCAATTAAGCCCAGACACTCACTTGTAAAGCCTTGAAAAAACCAAAGGAATATTGAATTTATTAAAGCTGTTCAGCTCCTTCATCTGGTCTTGCTTCTTGCTTTCTCAAAGATCTCCTGAGGAATTGGATTGATTTCTTCTTGCCAGAGGTCTTTTCTTTTCTGGTGTAGATTAAAGTCCATATGGCAGCTTTTGTTGATTAGCCACAACCAATTATGAAAACATAACATATAATATATTGCCTATCTAAATGCGATGACATGATATCTACTTTGGTGACATCCTCCTCATCTAACACAGGACAAATGACTTCAAAGCAGACAATCACTACATACTGTCACAGCACTCTAGAAATCTCTGCTCAGCAATACCCAGAACAGTATCAGTAACTGGAAAGAAACTGGCCTGGAGCAAGACATAAGAATACAAATTTGTTGTGATGCTGATGAGCCTTCCAAGGAGAAGCATGCGACTAAGATGGCCATGACAAGAGACAATGAAGAGCTCCAAAAGGAAAGCACCATTTCCCAACCTCCTAAAATCCAAGTGCTTCATTGCAGCACAGCTGCTCTTCAGAACTATTCTGCTCTTATAACAAGACTTGCACAGCACTAAAATAAAACACTGACACCACTCTGAGTCACAATCAATCATGATGGACAACCAATAGATGCAATATATGGTATTTTCAGTAGAACACAGAGTAAAATTAATGAAGATGCTCAGACCTGGTGCCCATATATGATCATTAAAAAATGTAGACAACCTCTCTTGTTAAAAAACAAACTGTATAGAACTGTATACTGCTGTTCACAGTTTCTGGACAGTTGCTGTACTGCTGTACAGCAATAATTTAACTGCACAAAGCAGCTCTGCCTGGAGGGAGCACAATATCCAAATCAGAGGGAATTAGATGGGCACAGTGCAGTAACTAGAAATGGATCTGGGATGCTTTTGCATCCGTGCTCTCAATCAATTGCAAAGCCCTTGGTGAGGAGCTTCCCATGAACCAGCAGTGTGTGCTTGAGCCCAGAAACCACCCATGTCCTGGCCTGCATCCCCAGAGCACGATCAGCAGGTCAAAGGAGGGGATTCTCCCCCTGTACCCCACTTTGGTGAGACCCCCCTGAAGTCCTGTGTCCAGCTCTGGGGCGACAGCACAAAAGGGACATGGAGCTGTTGCAGCGAGTCCAGACGAGGCCACGGAGATGCTGCGAGGGCTGGAGCAGCTCTGCTCTGGAGCCAGGCTGAGGGAGCTGGGCTGGTTCAGTCTGGAAAAGAGAAAGGGTCCTGAAGGGGAGACCTCAGAGCAACTCCAGTGCCTAAAGGGGCTACAAGAAAGCTGGAGAGGTGCTTTGGACAAGGGCAGATAGGGACAGGACAAGGGGAATGGCTTTAAACTGACAGAGGGGAGACTGAGATTAGACATTAGGAAGAATGATGAGAAAATGAACATGAGCCGGCTTCAGTGTGTACTTGCAGCCCAGAAAGCCAACCGTATCCTGGGCTGCATCAAAAG